TCATGTTTTATAAAAAGAGAATTGCCTTCCTCAGTACAAGGACAAATCTGATATTCAGTGCCAAGAGAAAGTATGTTCCAGAAAAAAAAAAACGTTCACAAAAGCCCTCTGTTTCTTGTTATCTGTCCCTGGAAAATGCTGTGACCCAGCACAACTGTTTTGTTTTTCGCAGTTTCAAGACAATTCGAGTAACTCGATCACTCTAGGTACCTGATCACATCTGTTGTTTTCCTCCTTTAAAGGCATTTTGGAGTAATTTTTAAAGGATCGTTGTACTGTGTATCTAATTTTGAAGGTGTTTCCAGCCCTTTGTGGAAGGTTACAGATAACTTGAGGTGTAAGGACGTGTCTTTATTCACCTGGACATTCTCAGCTAGCTGCCCTCTCCCTGTGACTTCAGCTATCCTTTCTATTTGTGCAACTGGTCCCCCTCACATCTCAGCAGAGCCTGCCTGTGTCTAACACTGTGGAGCTGTCAGACACTCACCCAAGGAGTCTAGCTGGCTTTACATTAGAAGCCCCTGTAGGCTCACAAAGCCTTGCACCCCACGGATGTCTGAGTATGATGCCATGCTGCCTTCAGAATGGTCTAGTTTTGTGCCCTGAGGAGACACAGATGTATTATGGATCCCAAGTTCATCCAGGCTTTGCAAATATTTTCCACTTGGGATCCAGGCCCAGAGATCCTCCTCAGAATTCAGTTACGGAGGAAGCCACCATCACTGGAATTGCAGGCAAAACTCTGGTACCCAAGAGCTCTGGTTTCCTATATGTGGGGGATGGCTTCCAGAGGGGCCAAGTCAGTCACCAAGAGCTGGAGGTTGAAGATATGAAAACCTATAGCACTAGCCAAGCATCTAGGGCCAGTTGAAAACCCTCAGAATTGACCTTGCGCCTCCTTCAGAATGAGAAGCTCGTGTTCACCAGAGTGTCCAGAAAGCAGCTAGGCATTTTCCAAGACTCACTGCTGAACTGAGCGTTGCCCTTGGTAATCCAAATGGAAAACGGTCAATTTCGTTCCAGGCATGTGGCAATGGCCAGCCAAGCCCTCCTCAGGCTGGGGGCCACTGTTGCCTTCCCCCTCTGAAGCTCCTGAAGGCACAGTGGGGCTGGTGGGAGAAGGGCTGGAAAGGAGAGATGCAAAAGAGCTGAGAGCACAGATAGCTGCTGGTTTTTAATCAATTGTTCCATAGACATGCCTAAAATACACAGCAGGTGATTCTAAAACTAAGCAAAGGCATCACAATATTTATGGAGCACCTACTATGAGCCCAAATCAGTTTGATCTCAGACCTCATGCTGTCTATTGCAGCACAGTCTCACCTCATGCTCTGGCTGCCTGCATGGTCTCAGAGCCTAGGACCACTGCTCCCACTGGGGCTTCTTCATTTTGTCAAAGCTCGCCTTCCATGAGCTTAGACAAGAATTTCTCTGGAGCACTGTGCATCATTCCCAATTGACCCCAGCAGCTGTCCCATTTTATATTTCCCAAGGTCTCCATGCTTGGAGCTGTGCTGGGGCTGTGCCAGGTGGGCATCGAATGGCCCTGGAAGATCCTGTTCCCCTGGGCTCAGATGACCACGATGGAAAATATAAACACAATGGAAATAAAATCAGCATAGTGATCAGCTGTCCCACAGGTACAAGGTAGGATATAGGTTGGTGTCTAGAGTCATCCCTGTGGATGAGTGAGGAGTAATTTCCACACATTTGACTCATCCCCAGGCTGAGAATTATCTTTCTGCCACCTGGCAGTCATTTCTGTACAGACCCCCAACCCAGTGGCCATAGCCACGATTTCGCTCCTCTTATGCATTCTTCCTTTGCTCCTCCTCTGTCTGCTCCCTCTCTATCTGGAGCAGAAATTTAGAAGCTTACCTGTGTGGATAAGGGTATGCATTGTTGGGGTAAAGCACCCCTAAGAACAATGGAATAGGAATGAACAGAGTGCCACTCACAGCTATAGGGACAGCTACATGACCACTGGGTGATATTACATATATACTACATTTATAAGACAGTAACCTGCAGAGACGAATGGAGTTCAGTGAAGCGACTTGTGTCAAAGTTGATGCAAGGAGAGAGAAGTTCCAGGGAGAGAGAGAATGGAGCTCATGAGTGCTGTGGTCCCTGGGGGAGCTCTCTGGATGGAGCAGTGGATGACTATCTGCTTTTGTTGACCCCTCAGTATTCTCCCCGCTTGTGATGACAGAACCTAGATCCTCTTTGGGAAGCACCCTCCTCTCAGTTTGGTCTATGTTGTTGGGTGGGACTGACCCCACACCCAGAAGGTGGGTGGGCACATGACCCTGATCTGGCCGGTGAAAGCACTTGACTGGTTCTGGGATGGCACCAACCTAACTTGGGCAAATGAAAATCACTTTTGGGATTTTTGCTAGAATTACTGAGACAGAGTATTCCTGATGTGATGGAATTCCTAAGTAACTGACTGTCAGCCTGGAGCAGCGGGGACCTTCATGCTGTTATGCTGGGAAAGCCTGCCAAGAACAGAGCCAACCCAGGGGAAATCCTCACTGTGAGATGGAGAGCCACAGTGTCCTGCGGACTTACTGAGTCCAGAGATCCAGCCATGCCTGGAGGCAGACCTTTGTTGGTTCACAGGTATGTGAGGTGATGAATCCTCTTTTTTGCTCCAGTTCATTTGAAATGGCTTTATATCACTTGCACTGAAACATTGCAGAGAAATCCAAGTGTGGACGTTATGGTTTATTTGAAACATAAACAATATGAGATCACCAGGGCTGATACTCACCTGATACACACAATTCGGGCTGTACTGTTGTTGAACTATTGAAATACGTCCATACCAGTTGGTAAACAGCTACCCCAAGCTACCCCACCTCCAGTGGCCCACTGTTGCCTGGGCCTCCTAGCCCACCCCCTAGCATGCCCTGGACTTCCCCACAATCTACCAACTGAAGGGTTATGACCTGGCACAACAGAGAGCTTCTGCTGGCAGCCACTCTAACTGGTCATTTGTAGGTCATCAATGAGCCCCATGTTGCAAAATTCAGTGGTCATTTCTCAGTTCTTATCTTACTTGGCCTAGCGACAACATTTGATCAGCAAGACAGTTGACCAATCCCTCCGTGAAACACTTGACCTGGCTTCCAGGTTATCGTCCACACCTGCAGTTCCTCCTGCCTTTCTGGTGACAACTTCTCAATCTCTTTTGCTGGTTCCTCCCATGTCCTTAACTTCTGCAGGCTGGCGTGCCCCAAGGCACAATCTTTAAACCTCTGTTCCACGTGTACTCATTCTCTTGGTGATCTTGTCCTGGCTCATGCTTTAAATACTATTCCAAGTTTACATCTCACCTGGACCTCTCCCTTCAACTCCAAATTCATACGTCCCATGGCCTCCATGACACCTCCGCCTGGATGCCCCAGAGTCATCTCAGAATCAGCATGTCCAAAGCTGAGCTCCTGCTGTCCACCACACCCCAAGTGGTTCTTCTGTGGTCTTCCCCATTCCATTCTCCTATTGCTCAAGCCTAAGTCCCTGGTCTTGTCCTCAGGTCCTCTCATTCACACACACATACCCCACACTTGATTTGTCAACAAAAAAATCCCATCAGACATACATTTCAAAATGTGTCCATACTCTGAGCGCTTCACACTGTCTATGCTGCCACTCTGCTGATCCAGGCCACCACCATCTCTCGCCTGGATTACTGCAAAGCCTCCTAACCATTAGGTCGTCCAGCATCTGCTAATAAAACTACTATGGTTTATTCTCAACACAGCAGCCAAAGTGAGTCTTTCAAAATCTAAGTTAGGTCACATCATTCCTCCAATACTTGCCATTTATTCAGAGTAAAAGCCAACGCCATTTCCATGAGCCCCCAAGACTTACCTGAACTAGCCCATTGCCTCTCCCCTCTCCTCCCGCTGGCTCCCTGCATCCCAACCACTCTGGCCCCAGCTGAGCCCACACACTCCCCTGTTCTGCTCTTCCCTCGGCTTGAAATGCTCTTTCTGCAGTTGTCTGCGTAACTTATTGCCCTGCTTTGTTCAATTCTTAATTCAAATATTGCTTTCTTCTTGAGGGCTTCCCTTACACCCCGTCTGAGATTTCAATCCCTACCTCCATCTGCTTTGTTTTTTATATTTATACTTATTGTTATCTAATATGCTTTACATTTCAGCCATCTAAATTGTTTTCTATCTTCTTCATGAGAATGCGAACTCAATGAGGATGGGAAATTTTGAGTATTTTGCTTGTTGCTCTGTCCAGCAGCAAACATCACCCATAAGCTATCGATAAATAATTTTGAATGACTTGGTTGTACCCTTTTCATAGTCATTATAAATATTTTGAATACCACTCCTGGAGACACCCCTCCCTACCCTATCCCCACAGTCACCTAGAGAAAACCAGCAACCATCTTCTTCTTCTATTCTCATTCCTAACCAAAATAAAAGCAGCCACTGACTGGGATTTAGCCTTCTGGAGAACTGGGTACTTGTAAAGCGGGTCCTTGGGAAGGAGCTGCAGGCAGTTCATTGATTGGGAAAGATGTTCTACATCATAGCTTCATCACTTCACATCTGATTTGCACAGCACCATACATTAATTTATCTTCTGAGCTTTCAGAGAGCCTCACAGAGGAAGGACAGACCTGGGATTGCTCACACTCCCTACCTGAGGGCCCGATGCCAAGGTTGGGCCTGGGTTGACACCTCTATGGGCAACCTGCCCCCAGCCACCACAGGCAGAAGGCCATTTCCTGCCATTTTGGTCTGAAAAAGCCGTAGGCCAGGTGGGACTTCAAGTCTGTTTGCAGAGTTTTAATTGGCAGAACTTCAGGAGTAGCAGGAGGGTTGTGTGGGGATGGGAGAGAGGAAAATAAAGAAAAAGGCAGATTGAGGTGCTCTTTGCGTGACTTCTTTACAGTAGGATCAGGCAAATGAAGAAAATCAAAGCAAGGCCAGCACCACACCCAGAGAGCACGGCTGGACTCCAGCCCGCACTGTTACCTTAGAGTGAGGGGTTCCTCCGCGGCGCCCTTCCCCTTCAAACTGGGCTGGAAACAGCAGAAGCTACACAAAGAGGGAAAGGAGTCTTCTGTCAGCAGAGTCAAGACTCTTCCCCCACCAGGGAGATATTTCAGAGCCAGACAAGAGGCTAGGCCCACTCCTGCCCCTCCAGGCCTCATCCTGCCCCCAGAGGGTGAACCCCAGACCTGGGTGTACCTCTGAGGCACCCCTCCTCAGCACCCTCCGGCATCACACACCCTAGCCTTAATAATAATAATGACAACAAGAAAACAATAGTTACGATAAAAACTGCATGTTTTAGATGCCTCCTCTGGGCCAGGCACTGGGCATTTCTGTTGCCAATGTTAGCACCCACTGCTGTACTCTGGGGACAAATGTCATCTTAATTTAAGGCTCCTTGAGCTGGGGGGGGTGAAGTTGGGCAACGTTCACTGTCTGAGCTGGATGTATACGACCTCTAGATTAACTGTGGAAAACTGTCTAACACACAGAAATCACAGGAGGAAAGGAACGTGAGGTTCAGCATTGCACACCTCCTTCTTCAGTTTGGTCTAAAACAGAACTGGAAGGCAACTTTAGGAGGCCATAGAACAGCAGGCCTTGGAAGAACCTCAAAGGCAGGCACGCAGTCGATGGAGATGCGCCCAGACCTGGTGCAAACAGCCTCTCTGCCGGAGTTGTTTTTCCCGTTTTCCCCACTCCAGCCCTGCCCTTCAGACCTAGCAGCTGGTCCTGGTGCCAGTGACTGGCCAGAGCCAACGGCAAGGCAAGGCTAGACCCTCTGAGCACAAAATGGCCTGGGACATTCAGGCCAGACATGTCAAATCTCACCTCAGAACTTCCAGCCCAAAGTGGAGCCAAACGTAACCACCCCCCTCTGTTAATCCAACGTCTATGTGGTCTGTTTATGGCTAGGAACCCGCCTTCCCTTCTATCCCTTCTAGATTCTCTACAAATCCCTCTATCTATAACTTTAATAATAATAAATAACCATTAGTATTAAAAATTTAGACACTAGCTTAAATTTCTTAGATTGATTAATCTATTTGGAGAAGAGAATTAAACAGCAGGCTTCTCTCTTTAAGAAAAAGGATGTTGCATGCAGAAATGGGGAATCAGTTGTTTGGAATTCTTTCCAATGAAATATGAAGTAAGAACAACTGAAATTGGCAACTGGGATCAAAAAGAAAGATTAAGCCAAAAAAAATTACTTGGAAAATTAGAAAATAAAGCCAGAAAATTCTGGAAGGCTCATTAAACAGCCACTTTCTCAAATATGTTGTGTCTGCACAGTTTTTTCTCCCTTCAGACATGACTGTCCTAATCACTTCAGTCCAGGGAATGGATCTGTTTCCCAGGATTTAGGGAAGGCACTACTATAGCTTTCTCTATACTTTGTTACATAATTCAACAGCTCTCCGGGGCGCTAAGTTCTTCCTTGTGTCTAACCTAAATCCTGCTGACTGTGGGTTGAGAACAATTCTCCTGAGAACAGAGCTGAACAGTCTCTGTTCCTCTGCTCTTGGTTCATGATCAGTTTCCTCAGAGCATGGTTTTCAAACCCTTACCTTTTGAAGGCCTTAGTCCGATCACTGTTGTGGAAGACAAGAAACTTGGAATATCCATTATGGAAAAAGATCTCCAGGGCGATGTCCTATAAAGAGAAACCCCTTTTACTGCTCCTGAAGTTTCCTTGAGTGGAGATGCCCCCAAGCAACAGAGCCACTGGCAACGGGTCATAGGTCATTAGGGTCTCTGTGTCAGGTGTAAAAGGGTTTCAATATAAAATGGAACTGGAGGATATGAAATGGAGAATCTCACACATATGCCCTCAGAGGAATGGAACTTAATTAAGACACTGATTTCCCGTCAATGCCTGATTTACAGAAGATTAAGACACATCTCCTGACCAATGAACATCGCCAAGAATCCCTCCCCACCCTCAAGCAATGAGCTTACTGTGTGGGCTCTGGCTAGCCTTCCCCGATTTGCCCTCCTTTCCCTTAAATATAGCCCCACCGAACCCTCAGAAGACTGGCCTGTCGCTTGCTACAGCCTGCATTTCCCGGAGTTGCGATTCCTCTGCTATTCCCAAATAAACTCAATTTCTGGTAATTCGAGCTTGCCTCAGTTTACCTCTTCATTTAGGTTGACGCAGGCAACCCTTCCTGGTTCGTCCTTCCAACCTCCCACAAGGGCGGGGAGTATGAAGACCCAGGTGAAATGATGTGTGGGGCGCCCGGCAGAAAGGGTAGGAGGGCAGGGGACCTCAGCGTCCCTTTGGCTGAAGCAGGAAGCAAGAGCTCCACCCCCAGGACAAGCAAGGGGCCGACAAAGGGACGAAAGTGCCTGCTAACACCTTCATGCACTTTCACTTATGGATCAAGGGTTTGGTTTCTTGAACCAAAGGGTCATCTTAGCAGAAACACCAGAGGAGCTGGTTGCGTGGGTGCAGCTCCCAATCTGAGCAGATTCCTATGCCGACCTGCAGACCGGAAGGCACAGGGCACTTCGCCAAGCCCGTTTGCTGAGCCACTTTGATGTGGCCGCACTGACATAGCAATGTCGTTTCAAGGGTGTTTTGTTGATGCCTAAACGAACTCAGCATGCTTTCCTTTCTTTTTCCTTTCCCTCCTCCCTCCCTCTCTGCCTCCCTTCCAATCCACGCTATGTAAATAACAGACTTGGAATAGTGATGGAGTGAGTCCACATACAGCACGAGGCTCAGGGATGAGATGGGGTCAGGGAGAGAATTGCCAGCACTGGAGGGAGGGTCTGGGAGGGGTGAGGCTTGGCATGGAGGCACAGATGGGGTGGGTGAGGGTCAGACTCAGCGATGGAGTGCTGCGTCCAACAGCAGAGTCAGGTCCTGCCTCCACCTGCTGGAAGGGACTTCTCCAAGTCCAGTTCATTAGGCTCCGGAGCAGAGGGAGCGTGTTTGTGATGATCATGCAAATCCCCTCTCCTCTGCGGGAGCACATGAGAACCTTGGATCTTTTTCTACAAATTGAAATACAAATAACGTGCAAATAGACGATGGATGTAGAATCTGTTGAGGCTACGGCTTGCCCTGGCAACCTTGAGTGCCAGGATCTGACTTTTTATTCCGGGAGAATCCAGGGCTGGAGAAATGGTGGCTTTGCTCACAAAGCCCCCCACCTCCCATCCCCTCGCCCCACTTGGCCACGTTTGCACGCCCTCCCATTTCTGGCTTCCACCACTGTCAGGCTAACCAACCATCTGGAAACAATCACCGTTTACTGCGGGGAAAGAAACTCACTTACTGATACCTATTTCTACTATATATAACCTCTAAGGTAGACAAATAATCATAAAAAAATATTTTTGATGCTATGCACCAAAAAAATGTGCTAAGTGCTGTATACGTAATGGTAGAAAAGAGAAGACGTGGTTGCTTGTTCACCGGAGGGAAATGGAAGCCCAGAGAGGTGCCCAATTGCGTTAAAGTGGCAGAGCCAAGGTCAGCACTAGCTCATGCTGGCCACACTGCCCAGAACCATGGTCAGGGGTGGGGGGAGGGGCGGTGCTTCTTCCACTCACCCCTTTCTAGATCACCCTCCTTGACAAAAAGCACACTAAGGTGAGGCGAAACGAGAACCAACACTCTATGTGTAAAATCGGTGGAGACGGAGGAAGAGGGCTGTCGGATTCCAGAGGCTTGCTGGACCCTTGTCAGCAGGGCAGCTGATCCTTTCTGGAATAGCCCCCCTGAAAGGCCTCCCTGAGCTGCACTTTCAGAGAATAATAATGTGGCCTCCTGCATGAGGATCACATGATGAATTACAGACCCAAAGAGATTTACAAATGAAAGCCACTCTTATTCCCTTCATTAGGGCCAGGCACTGTCCCTAGTCGGCCTTGCAGAACAGAGGCCCCGCAGAGAGGGTGGGGGAGGAATCTGGCCCTTCCTCTCCTAGAAGGGGTCCCGCATCTCTTCCTCTGCCAGCTGCCTGGGAGGCCCTGGGCCCAGGAGATGCAGCTTTGCTATGGGCGAGGTTGGGCTGGCGAAGGCAGATGTGCTTGGGGCCAGTGGCGACCCCGGAATTCTTCCTCCTCCCTCTGCCACTGAGGCAATGCCTCTGCGATTTATACAGTGAGAAGCCCTAGGGTGTGAGCAGCTGAAGGCAGAGCTCTGCCTCTGAAAGGAACCGGCTCTGTTTAGCACCTGGGTGAGCCCTGGAAGGCACTGGGCGAGGCCTGGGACCCTGGTTGGAGGGGACAGTCAGGAGATCTGTAATCCACTTGGCCCAGGAAATGACAGGAGCTTGGAGACAGTTGAGGCTGGGGGTGTGGGCAGGGGGGCAGCCACATCCACACATCCTCCAGTGTAGGACAGTGTCCGGCAGAGGGGGTCAACGAGGCCAGAACAGGGCAGACTGGCACTGAACTCTCAGTCATCAGCTCTGCCACGAGGCAATGGAGCTGCCCTGTCCTGTGTTCCTGAATCTGCAGGGCAGCTCTGGGGCACGTCAAGGAGAAAAGAAAGCAAAGAGGCTGGAGCCTCAATGACACAGCAAGAGAGAGAAGGGCCCAGTGGCCACAGGGCAGGGCCTGGGAGAGAGTGGAGCAGAAGTCAGAACCCCGCGCCAGGGGCCCAGGCCCAACATAAACCAGGGGAATTCACTGGGTGTCCCAAAGGGACCCGGGCTGGGCTGTGAAGGGGGTCACAGGGGTGTGTCCCTCCCATTCGATGGGGCCTGGATGGCACCGGGATCGCCTGTCCCGTGAAGAGATGGTCCCCCTCTTGCTCCCTCCCTGGGGCATACCTGCAGGAGGAAGCGTGCCTGCCGGAGCTCCCTGAGGTCGCCGTAGCTGTGGCGCTGGCATGAGTAGTGGTCGGAGGACCTGTCTTTGCTGCACATGTTGAAAATGAACGGATCGCTGATGCTGAAAAGCAAGGAAGACACGCAGTGAGAGGGCAGCTGGTGGGCTTGTTCCCCTTCCTGCCCCGCGGCCCCACCTGAGCTTCTGGGCACACATCAGAGGAGTGCTGTGGTCACTGCCGACCAGGGTGCCAGCACCCACTGACCCAACAAACCCTTTCTGAGCACCTGTCCGGGGCAGCCATGCCCTGAGGAGTAGGGTGGAGCATCGGCCTCACCAGGAGGGGGGCCAGTCTCCAGGATAGACATAGCACAGGGTGCGGAGCATGGGTGTGAGAAGGCTCTCAGGGTACAAGGGTCAAAAATGGGTTGGGGGTGGGGGAAGAGTAAAAGAGGTACCTCAGTTATGTTTGGAGAAATTTCAGGCTTCTGGAACACAGGGCCAAAAGATGGCAAGCCCCACAAAGAAAAGCCCCTGTTCAGCATGGCCTCGGCAACATGAGCCTGGGGTGGACCAGCTATGTTGGGGTGGCATCTGGTGCAGCATGGGAGAAAGCAGCAAGAACCCTGGAACTCCCCAACGAGGTGGGCAGCAGGGCTGAGAGCGCTGATGGGCTGGAAGACAATGACCACAGCATCCGTCAGACCCTGGAGCACTGTGCCCAGAGCCAGGGATAGGCGACATTATAGCAGAGGCCAACAGGAGTGGAGAATGGTCCCGCCAGGCCAGGCATCCTCTCCCAGAAGTCAGAATGACTCTCATTGGGAAGAAAGGGAGAAGGCGGAAAGGGAGAATCATGAATTTGACTAAATATTTATCCCAAAGAGAACCATTTCTGCACTGGAAGTAAGTGAAATACCTTTAAATAACCAGATGAAGCCATTCACCACCCATACAAATGGGGACTTGAGAAATCAATGTGATTTCAGTTATAGACAGTTACATTTGTGATCTCCTGAGTTATGTAGCAAATTTAAATTGTGCACATGATCACAAAAACTCTGATAAAATGCCCTTTCAGGACTTGAAAAATGAAGGGCCTTCCAAGCACCTCAGCCCTCCAGAAGACTTTGTGTCAACCATGGGCCCAAAGAGCCAAGAGGTGAAAGAGCCCCTGCGCCAGTGCCAGCGCCAGGCTGGGGGAACGGGTGAGAAGATTGTGTTTCACATTCTCCCCATCCCAGGTCCAAGTGCAGCCCTCACCACCCAGCCTCCAGGGCAGGCCACTCACAGAGTCTCCACGCCACTCTTCTGGGGGAGACCGAGAGAGAGATCAGGCCATCACACAGGCCAGCAGGACCTCTCCAGTCAATGGTCAATGGTGGTGGTGCGGCATGCGTGGTGCTAAGAGCTTGGACCTGTGCACTATGCACAACGGTCACTGCTGGGAGAGGGGGAGGCTGCCCGTGTAGGACACAGCCTGAGCCCGTTGCTTAGACCTCTGCACAGCCACTCAAGGATGTGGACTCAGGCCCTTTGCTGCTTCTCCTCCTCCTGCCCCTTCTTAGAACAATCCTATCTGGCTTCCTGCTCTGAGCCACGTTGCTATAGAATTGATCAAATACATATATGGCTTTGGTTCTGAACGCTCCTGCCTGGATGCTTGCATTCAAACCTGCTGCTGACAGAGGCCCTTTGTCCATTATTAAGGCCTCCATCTGGAGCTAAGCTGAGCTTCCCCTAAACTTCTCTGACCCCCAGTGGGGCTGTGGTGGTAATCCTAGTTCCTACCCTGGGCTTAGGTCAAACAGCATCCCAGGTCAAGGCACTGGTGAGAATGACAACGACAACTCCTCTGTGCTCCTGTAGCCCCATGCCTGTGGGAGCCACCACAGCAAACATCCTCTGTTCCTTAGCTGCACGCTTGGTTGGTTCCTGTCCCCAGCAGATATGAGTAAGTTTGCTGGGGCACAGACCTGTGCCCATAATTCTCCATCCTCTGCATCTTCTCTGGGGCTCTGGGCATGTCTGCCGAGTAGACTGACAACTGTCACGATCTAGAGCCTGCTAAGCACTTCCCTGTTTCGGTTTAATTTGACCCTCATAACAAGCCCTTACTGAGCATATGTTGTTATTACTCCCATATTAGAAATGAAGAAACTGCATTCCGAAGAGGAGAACTGACTTTTCCAAGGTCACGTGGAACTAGATTCAAACTGGATTCAAAGCCAGGTCCTCTGACTTGAAGACCCAAGCTCGCTCAACAACACCTCTCCTCCCCTGAGAAAGCAGACAGGCTCCCTGGCATTCTCAGAGCTCTTCCCACCGGCTCCCTCCTTTCAGTTTATTCTGTGTGGACTGATTCTCTACCTAGGACTCTAGACACTAAGGATGTGAAGAAGAATGCTCTGGAAAATTCTTTTAGGAAGCAGCTTTTAGGAGGAAAGATGATCATTTTTCTCCTGCTTATAGTGATTGAATAACCATATAGGGCAGGAATGCTCAGACCCGATTCCCTAGAAATGACTAACTCGTCCACATCATTGAGTTCACTGATGCGAGTCCAAATTGGAGTTCTGCCCTATGTAGCATTAGTCACACAGCTGTGACTGGCTCTCTTTGCCAACACCATATTCTACATGTTCTGTGCTTTAAATGGAGTTCAGATCCCCAAAGTCAATGAGCAGAAAGGAGTAGCCAATCCATGTTCCTCTTTAGGTGAGCTGTGGCCCTCGTACACAGCTCCTTTGCATGACAGCTATCATGATATTTGCAAATTGCCCAGGGTGGTCAGAGTATAACATTTAATAATCTTGACTAGGACACTTACAGTAAGCTAAATAATAATCATGATACTGGTTGACCTAGTCTTTGATAACAGAAGTGGATTTCAGACTAAAATATACTTTGATCCCACATTCGAAGTTATCCAATTACTGTCAGAACTTACATCTGGAATTTATACCCAGAACCATTTACTAGATCACAAACTCTTTACCAGACTTAGCCCACATTTAACTCATCTCTTTGTATCTGTGAAGTCTACCACAATGCCTGGGACAAGACAGATTTTCAATAAGTATTTGTTGAATTGAATTAAACAGAGATATGATGCCTTAAAACTGCTGACTGATGTGGAGGAAATATCTGAGTAAAAACACCCTATCACAAATAGCCAGCTGGATGGTCTGGATTCCCACCAAATGAAGCAAGCGCTATACCTTGTGAGCATGGCTGCCACTGTTACGGGTTGAATTGTGTCCCTCAAAGGAGATATGTTTAAGTCCTAACACCCAGGATCTCAGAATGTAACTTTAATTAGAAATAGGTAAATAACAGAGGTAATAAAGTTAAAGTGAGGTCATTAAGATAGGCCCTACTCCAATACGACTAGTCTCCTTACATAAAGGGGGAATTTGGACACAGAGACAGACACACACACGCAGAAGATAATGTGAAGACACATAGAGAGAAGATGCCCATGTGACTGGAGTGATGTGTCTACAAGCAGAGGAACACTAAGGATTGCCAGGTAACACCGGAGGCTGGAAGAGGCAAGGAAGGATCCTCCCTAGAGCTGTAGAGGGAGCATGGCCTTCCAGCCTCCAGAACCGTGAGACAACAAATTTCTGTTTTTTTAAGCCACCCAGTTTTTGGTACTTTATTACAGCAGCCCCAGGAAACTAACATAGTCACTCTATTCAACCAAAAAGAGATCCCACTGAAAGCAAAATATAAACTTCTAGAAAGGTTCTTAGTTTCTGAGGAAAGTTCCAAAGTACACAGGTCTAATCACTGCTGGAGGGTTTGCAGTGTTCTTGAGTTTTATTTGGGATATTTTTATGGTACATCAGAGAGTCTTCTTCAAGGTCTAATGCTCAACTTTACTCAATTTGAAAGCAGTCTTTTAGAGAAACATTTCAGGGTTGACTTAGCTTTATTTTTAACTGGCTTATTTATGTATCTTCCTTAGTCTCCATGGTCAAAATAAGATTTAATACCCATTGATCTGACGTGACCTAATAGCCCGTCTCTGAGAACTGCATCTCCATGAGGGCCAGCAGTTTCTCAGGGCAGTAGACAAGACCTCAGAGAGAAAGCACTGTCTGGTTAACAAATACTGCTTTGAGATATGGTGACTAAAATTACCTATGCAATTCCCAAATGGTATTCCAGGATAGTAATTTGTTCTCACTACACTCCTACTTGCATTCTAGAAAAGTACATTCCAGACATTGGAAGTCTCCTTCATCATGGCAAATCAAGTGAGTACGTACAACCTGATGACTGGACTTCTATTAAAAGTGCAGATATAGTCAATTTGGTCATGATTAGATGCACCTCATAAACACAATTTACCTAATCGATAAGATCTTATCTAACACTAACTCGATTTAAACCAGAGGTGGAGAGGGAAGCAATGGATTATGCAAGTCATTACGCAGCACGCCACGCATACAGGTGGAGTAGAAAGCTGTCACCAGCTCTCAGAAAGGCTAGTCTGCAGACCCGTTGTCCATATTGATCAGTATCAATAAAACATGAGCAATAAGATGGGATGAGGGTGCCAAGTATTAATTATGCTCCTCCTGCCTTGGAAAAGCACAGAAGACACAGCAATCGGTAAACGTTTGGTATGAATAAAAGATGGAAATTAGCAGAAATAAAAATGCCAAGCATGTTAAAGCAAATCTAAATCAAAGGAGAGTGGGCTGACGTCTATTCTTCCACACTCCTTAAATTCTTGCTCCTGACATAGGCTGGAAATGATATGACAGCTGAGAGTTAAAATTCTTAGTTATGGCAGGTAAGATTCTGGTTCCTCTGTCAATAGTCTAAAACAGTGGTTCTCAAAGTGTAGTTGCAGACTAGTTGTATCAGCATCAGTTGAAAACTTGTTAAAATCTCAGGCCTTACCCCAGAACTATCAGATTAGAAACTGGGGTGAAGGTGGGTCCCAGAAGTCTGTTTTAATAAGCCCTCCAGTTTACATTAGTTTGAGAGCCACTGGGCTGAGAGGTTATCTTGTCATTATTTGAAGCTTGGCTAACCAAAATTTCAAGGCCTGTATCTGGATAAAGAAATCTTCATCCAAATGTCTTCAAAAGCAACGAGCAAGTGAAAACATAACTTGATAACTGAACTTCTAGCAAAAGTGCAAAGATAGTCTATTTGATTTTGAGTGGTTGTACTTTACAAACACAAGAGAATTAATCAGTAAGAGCTGATTGAACCCAAATAGTCCAAATACACTTGATCCTAAAGAAGAATCTTGGAATTTCCTGCCAAAGACCTCCGATATTAGTTGCTATAAAAATGATTCTACAAATTTCTAGCCAAATCGCACACATCCTCCAAGACCCAGATCTTAGCCTACTTCCTCAAGTAGTCGTCCTGCACCACACCATCCCGACATCATCCCCAAGTGTGAACCCAGAAAACTCCTCCCATAACGTGTATTTTGTCCCATGATGACAGTGTGTTACAAACTCTCGCCGAAAGAGCCTGTCTATGCTGCTGACTGCACCTGTGCGCCTTGCTCGGCCTGAAGGGGAGTGCCTGGTATCTCACATAGAATGAGCAATCAACACATTGTTGAATGAGTGAGCTGACAGGACTGGATTCAATTACACAAATAACCTAAGGAGAGATCCCCTGTGTCCTGCAGTGCGTTCTGTATCAGGGGAGGCATGAGGAGCTGCTGCATTGTCACCCATTCCAGATTTTAGCTTTGGAGAACCACAGTCACGGATGCCTGTGCCTTAGGGTTCTTCTGTTTTATTGCATGGATCAGTTGCAGGCCCAAATCTAAGCCCACAGTAAGAATAAGGTGGGAGGGGTAGGGAGTGAGGTGGCTGAGAAGGAAGACTGAGGCTCAGGGAAGCATCTGCTGGGAGAAGTGGGGACTCACTTGGATAAGCAGTGACGGGTGCAGTAGACATCGCCCACGGGAGAGAGTGTGAAGTTCTCGCAGATGTAGAAGTGCTGGAGGCCAAAGAGTAGGACCCCTTCAGAGACCAGGTGGCCCTGCACGATCACCAGGGAGTACTTCTGTGTCACCTGGAGGGAGAGAGTGCCAGAGTCAGGCCATGTGCATGTGAAGCATGCCTATCATCCTTATGGAGGGCAGGAGGGCAGTGACCAATCACACACTGGGCACTTGGAGGTGCAAGTAGCCCCCTGTAAGAAGGACAGCACCGCTGCCCCAGAGCTGCACTGCTCTTCACAGTTTGAGTGGTACTTCTACACCCAACCCCCTGTTTAGTTATTTAATCTACCCAAGGCCACCCCCACCCCAACCAAGACGTGTGGATGAGTGTTTACTGCCGTATTGAGCATGTTGATGTCCTTTCTTTAAGCCCTTCCACAACCATGCAAAACATTCCACAGTTAACAGTGAGGAAAGTTTTCAAGGTACAAGGTATCCCTCAGCCACAGAGGTGAAAGAGCTTGTCCAAGGACCAGCTGGCAAGTGGCTGAGCCAAGACTGGAACTGGGTCTACCTGGAATCGCAAGTACAAGACTGATACTGCTGTCCTGCAAGGCCACGGCTAGTCCCAGGTGTGCAGAGGAGGCATATGCTCCACCCGGATCCCTCCTGGCAGACCTAAGCTGCATTCCTCCAGTAGCTGGAAATGTTGGCAGACTTCCAGAATCGCCTCACCTGAAGAGAACACCTAGCCTAAGGTCACATCACCTGCCTAGTGGCAGTCTGTGCCCAACAGCTAGTCAGTGCAGAGTAGAAAGGGCCAGATGCTTTGCCTCTATTCAGGCCAACTCTGAAGAACCATCCCAGACCTTGAGCTCCTATGGTATCAGCTGTGGCCTTTACTGAGACTGCATCAGAGTTCCACTTCTCCCTCTGCCCAGTTCTGAGACCCTCACTCCCAAGAAACTTCCTGCATGCACATCTCTGGCTCATAGTTGGCTTTCCAGGGAACCTGACCTGGGACAATGTCTTGGTATGACCCAGTGTCCTGCACAAAGTAAGGACTGAGTGGGTCCTTACACGGAATACATCCCTGAGGGAACAAGAGAGGGAATAAATAAATTTTAGATGATAGGAGCCCAAATGGACCAAGAATAAGGCCAAGGCCAAAGCCAACATTTTTTCAGGGTGATTCTATGGTAATTCCAGTTATACAAAAGAGGAACTGATATTTTTTTGACTACCTACTCTATGACCATGGTCACCATTTTTCACATATTACCCAATATAATCCTTATAACTGGACAAGGGAAATTTTACTACTCTAATTTACAGATGAAAGAAAAGAGGTCCCAGAGATAAGAATCTCACCAAAGATCAGTCACGTAGTAAGTGGCAGAGCCTAGGATTGAAGCTAAACTCGCTGCTCACTTTTGGGAGCAATGATGAGGCCACAGTGGTGAAACCTGGAAGAGGAGCCTGAATACCAGTCCAACTCCTGCATCCAATGAGATTAGTCAATGTGAGGGCTAAAGCCAGAAGGTAAAGATTCACCAAGGATTTTGTTCCAAGATAAGGGTTAACCTCTACAATCTAGGACAAGTCATCACCGAACTATTTTTCCTGAGTGAGGGTCAGCCAAGAGTCCTGGTTCCTGTAAGCCAAGCCTGCTGCAAGCCGCTGGCTCTCCCAGCCTCTCCTGCATCCACTTTGTCAGAGGAGCTGGTCCTCAACCACCTTCAGAGCCACACTTCAACACGGACTCATTTCCAACTTCATTCATTCATCCAGATGGTCATGTTTTCAACAGTTAGGGATTCAGCACCTACTACATGTCAGGCCCTGAGCCAGGCTTTGGGGATAGAGGGACAGACAAGACAAACAAGAACCCTACCCTTATCAGGCTGAAAATCCAGTGGGTGAAGGTGGGTGGTAGACATACATGTCGACTAATAAGCTATTACAGGTTGTGATACACGCTGAGAGAGAAAAACAAAGTGATAATGACAAGGCAGAGAGAAACTTGGAGGGCACACTATTTTAGACAAACCCTGAGACGTGAAGGATGGAAATGGGGCAGCCATGGAAAAGCCCGGAGAATAACATATCAGGGAAAGAAAACATCCAGCTCAGAGCCTTGAGGCAGGAAGGGCAGATTTGGGGAGCAGAAAAGAGGTCAACGTGACTGAGATGAAGTTGGCAAGTAGGAGAGCTCAGATCTTGAAGGCCTTAGACGCCTGGGTAAGGCCACTGGCTTTTATTCTGGCTGCAGTTGAAAGCCACGGGATGGGGGGATCATTTCTAAAAGAGGACACTGGCTGCTGGGCAGAGAAGAGATTGGAAAGAGCCAAGAGTGGAGGGAGGGTGAGCAGTCGTGCGGCTATGTCAGTGGCCCTGTGGAGGGATGGTGGCTTGGGATGAGGTGGCAGAGAGAAGTGGGAGGAAGGGGAGAAGTGAGGGAATCTAAACAAGAAGAGGTAGACCTGACAGGAACTGCTACTAGACAAACTGTGGAAAACCACAAAACAGGAAGGATTGAGCATAAAGGATAGATGTCTACTGTGGGACTTGGGCAATTGAGTGGAGTCCCCCAGCTTCCCTGGAAGCCTTCCCCAGAGGCAACCACCCTCACCACTTTATCATATTGAAGGGCAGCAGATATACCACCCTAAAATATGTCACTTTGGCATGAAGATTATTTTGAGTTACAGATGCTCAAAAAACAGCAGGTACAAGAAGGGCACTCTGGTCTCCCCTTTTCTTCCTGACAGCGGGAGTTAGAACTCTCAGGTGAAAGATGCCCTCCCTACACCAGGAAAGAAGAGCATTCTTATCACCAGAGACGGGGAGTCCAGACCGAGAGAAATCTGTGCAAACAAACCATGGTAAACTAACCCTCAACTTCTTTAGCCCCCCTGTGTATTTGAGTTACCTTTCTTAACCACTCCTCTTAGTTCAACCTAAGCACTGAGGCCTAACTGCTTTTTAGGTCTTCATTTTCCTGTGAAGGCTCTCATGTACATATGAAAATAAAATCTATATGCTTTCCTCCTGTTAATCTATCTTCTGTCAACTTAATTCTCAGGCCTAGTTGGAGACCCGACGAGGGTAGGGGAAAGTTTTACATCTCCTATAGTATATTCTTCTGAAGAGATTCTATTAGTACATAAGCATGGTTTATACATATTATTATTATTTTTTAATGCAAGAGCATATTCATATACTTACTGTTCTGCATCTAGTTTTTTTTCCTTAACAGCCTATCTTGGAGATTCTTCCAAATCACTTCTCATAGAGTTGTCTCACTCTCATTAACAGGTGTAGACTCTTCCCTTGCATGCAGGTACTGTAACTTTCATGACCGATCCCCTAATGATTCCAGGATTGTTTTCAAATGGTTTTGGGTTTTTTTGGTTTTGTTTTTGTTTTGTGAGGAAGATTAGCCCTGAGATAACATCTGTTGCCAATCCTTCTCTTTTTGCTGAGGAAGACTGGCCCTGGGCTAACATCCATGCCCATCTTCCTCCACTTTATATGGATCGCTGCCACAGTGTGGCTTGATAAGCGGTGCCTCAGTCCACACCAGGGATCCGAACCCGCGAACCCCAGGTCGCTGAGGCGGAGCGTGGGAACTTAACTGCTATGCCACTGGGGCCAGCCCCTGTTTTCAAAGGTTTTGACATTACAAGCGATGCTGCAGTGACCATCCTTGCATATATGTCACTTTGAACAGACAAGTAAATCTGAAGGATAGATTCCTAGCAGTAGAATTGCAGCTCAAGGGCGAGAGCATCTGAAATTCTGATAGCTATTGCCAGACTGCCCTCCTGCAAGGTGGCATCAATCTACACTCCCACCAGCACTGTTAGGAGGGTTACGCCAGGCTATTTAAACATTTTCTCTTATGCCTTTGTAGAGAGGAGACTCCATCCTCGAATTCACATGGTGAGATGTGGAGCAGTGCCACCAGCCCTGACCCGTGTACCTCCCAAACCTCTCCCCTTCCCACGATTCCCCACCCTTGTCCAACCTCTGTGGTGCCAACAGCAGGGGCCGGAGAGCATTCTCATGATCTCCCGGTGCTTTCCTTTGGGGAGAATTAAGTAGCAATCAGAATAAGCCAAACCACAGGGAAAATGTCTGGTAAGAGCTGGAGTAATAGCTTAAAAATTGATTCTGCTAGAAAAGAATGGCATTTTAAAAACTGGAAAATGAGCTCAAGTGAACTATTACCTGCTTTTCCATTTAAATTAGCACTGGGAGGGCTCCATCCCCAAGTTTACTCATGATTAAGAAATCCCTCCTGCTGCGATTCTATCGAACACTTTAAAAAGAGTAGAACTTCTGCTTCATAAGTAAAATTCTTTTAAGATCGGCTGGATGATATATTACCACTCCTAATAGGTAGATAACTAAGCATGTGGCCACACCTGGCCTTGCGTATGAGGAGGGATAGGTTATCTGGAAATCCAAAAATGCCAGAGCTGAAGTTAGAGGAGCAACAATCTGCTGGAACATTCCATGGAAGCCCAGGCCAGCATGTTCTCCTAGAGTCGGGCCTTGGTGTGCACTGCTGCGGGAGGGCAGGGTCAACCGAAGGCTCTCCCGAGTTCTTTCCAGCGTCATGGGCCTGCAATTTGGCGCAATGCCCTAATTCTATAGGAGGAAGAACTGAGGGGCAGAGCTGTCAGATGAGGCACCTAGGAACAGAGCTAACGTGTACGTTCTCTTATATTTGTGTGCCAAATCTACCGCAAGGAAAGCTTTAGCCCTGCTTAAATGAATCACGCCTCCCTTTTCGTACCTCTCCTGCTTGCCTAGACCTTTACAATACATTCCTTTATCTGGCGTGTGAAACGAGTATGCTCAGTTTTCAAAGAAGCACAGATTGCTGAGGAAAAGTTACGTATTGAAAAGGAGTGAGGCTATATAAATTACATTTATGTTGGCTACCATGCACTCTGGCTTCTGCTTTTTCTAGGTTGATCATTTTGAGATGGAGCACTGATTCACACCAGCAATCAAAGAAATGTATATTAAAATAATAAGGATATACTATCTTTTATGTATCAATTTGGCAAATCTGGGAAGAAATATACTGCGTGGCTCTCCTTCTGGCAGCTCATCTTTT